TAAAGGACTATGATATTACCATACTTTATCATTCGGGCAAATATGGTTACGGATGCCTTAAGTAGAAAGGCTGAGAGTATGGGGAGTTTGGCATTCATTTCAGCAGAAGAGAGGCCATTGTCTTAGGACATTTAGTCCTTAGCTAACAGACTGGTGAGATTGGATATTTTAGAGCCCAGTCGAGTTCTTGCGTGTGTAATGGCCCAGTCTTTATTACTTGAGCAGATCAAGTCTCGTCAGTATGATGATTCGCACTTGTTGGTTCTTAGGGAGACGGTACTATAGGGTGGTGCCAAGGAGGTTGCTATCGGAGAGGATGGTATTCTGCGGCTCTAGAGTCATCTATGTATTCCTAATGTTGATGGCTTGAGGGAGAAGATTCTAGAAGAGGCGCACAGTTCTCGGTATTCTATTCATCCAGGGGCTACGAAGATGTATCGCGACCTGAGGCAGCATTATTGGTGGCGGCGGATGAAGAAGGACGTAGTTGAGTATGTGGCGAGATGTCTAAATTGCTAGCAGGTCAAGTGTGGCGAGATGTCTAAATTGCTAGCAGGTCAAGTATGAGCAATAGAGGCCAAATGGCCTACTTCAGCAGATGGTTATACTTGAGTGGAAATGGGAGCGCATTACTATGGACTTCGTAATTAGGTTTTTACGGACTTTGAGGAAGTTCAATGCAGTTTGGGTCATTATCGACAGGTTGACCAAGTCGGAACACTTTATTCCGGTTGTGACTACGTATTCTTCAGAGAGATTGGCCTAGATTTACATTCAGGAGATTGTTCGGTTGCATGGTGTGCATGTTTCTATCATTTCAGAGAGAGGCCCTCAGTTCACTTCGCACTTCTTGAGAGCAGTTCAGAGCGAGTTGGGTACCCGGGTAGAGCTCAGTGCGTCCTATCATCCGCAGACCGACGGGCAGTCGGAGGGACAGTTAATATTCTAGAGGATATGCTCAGAGCATGTGTCATTGACTTCGGAGGTCAGTGGGATAGATTCTTTCCCTTGGCCGAGTTTGCTTACAACAACAATTATCAGTCCAGCATCGAGATGGATCCATTTGATGCTTTATTGGTCGGCGATGTCGTTCTCCCATCGGATGGTTTGAGCCCGGCGAGGCTAAGTTATATGGTACTGATTTAGTGAAAGATGCCTTAGAAAAAGGTAAAGTTGATTCAGGAGCGACTTCGCACATCACAGTCCAGATAGAAGAGTTACGCGGATCAGAAGGAGTGTGATCTATCATTTATGGTGGGCGAGAATGTTCTCTTGAAAGTTTCGCCGATGAAGGGAATCATAAGGTTCTTGAAGAAGGGCAAGATGATCCCACGGTTTATTGGCCCATTCGAGGTATTGAGGCTTGTCGAGGAGGTTGCTTATGTGCTTACTTTGCCTCCCAGTCTATCGGGATTTCATCCGATTTTCCATGTGTCTATACTTTGAAGGTCTCATGTGTTAGACTACAATACGGTTCAGCTAAATAAGAGCCTGGGTTATGAGGAGGAGCCAGTTGCCATTGTTGACAGGCAGGTTCACAGGTTGAGGTCTAAGAGGATTTCTGCGGTAAAGGTCCAGTGAAGGAGTCAACTAGTCAAGGAGGCAACTTGGGAGACCAAAGAGGGCATGCGGAGCATAAATCCACACTTATTTAGCATTCCAGGTATGATTCTAGACCAGTTTGATGACGAACATTTGTTTAAGAAATGGAGAATTTAATGACCCGACCAGTCATTTTACTTTCTCGGTCCTCGTTCCCCTAATTAAGACTCCCCGTATGTTATTTTACTATTTTATGACATACATGGATGGTTTGTTCGGGTTTGGAAGAGTTCGGGTTGAAATCGGAATACTTAGTTCCTTAATAGTAGCCTATAATGGTTAAGTTTGACTTGACTCAACGTTTTGAGTAAACGAACTCAGAACTGGGATTTGACGGTCCCAATAGGTTCATGTGATGATTTTGGACTTGGGCGTGTGTTCGGATAGGGTTTCGGATGACCCGAGAGCGTTTCAGCGCTTAATATTGAAAGTTGGCGTATTGAAGGTCTTCCAAGTTCTTTAAGTTCGGTTTGGAATAGACTTTGGTGTTATCGAGGTCCGTTTGGGATTCAGATCTTGGAAATAGTTCTGTATGGTGATCTATGACTTGCACGCAAAATTTGGCGTCATTCCGAGTTGATTTGACAGGAATCGGATGCGCATAAGTGTTTTTGGATGTTTTTGAGTTTGATGTTGAATTCATGCATTTTGGCATCTGATTTGTAATTGTGGATGTTATTTTTATGCTTCGATCACGCAAGCGAGTCCGTATTATATTATTGGATATGTGAGTATCTTTGGATAGGGCCCCGGGGGATCCAGATGCGAAATAGATTGGAATCAGACTCGATTTGGGTATGGGGGAAACTGCTGGTGGCTTCAGTTCTAGTGCTTTCGTACCTGCGTGGGTTTAGCCGCAGGTGTGAGCCTGTGATCACAAAAGCGGTTGGAAGTGGGCTGGCCAGTGGTTCGCAAAAGCGACGCTTTTCCGCAGAAGAGAAATCGCTTCTGCGATGGAGGATCCGCAGATGCGAAGGAGGGTTAGTAGCCTTGGGTTCGCAGGTGCGACAGCCTTTCCACCTACGTGGCTTTAGCCGTAGGTGTGAGCCTATGAACATAGAAGCGGATGGGAGTGGGCTGACCAGTGGTCCACAGAAGCGACGCTTTTCCGCAGAAGCGAAATTGCTTCTGTGATGGAGAATCCGCAAATGCGTAGGAGGGCCAGCAAGCTTGGGTTCGCAAGTGCAACAGTCTTTCCGTAGAAGCGGGTCCGCAGAAGCGAGAGCGCATCCACAGAAGAGAAGAGAGGCATCCTGGGCAAAGACCACACTTGTGAGGATTTTTCTGTAGAAGCAGAGCCGCAGATGCGACTGTTTTGGTCGCATGCACGAAATCCCTGGGTCAGTGAGGGCTTTTATTACGAGACTTAGACCCTTTTCCTCACATTTTCATTTAGCCTCGGGAGATTTTGAGAACACTTTAGAGGGGGATTCTTATCAACATCCTAAGGTAAGTAACTCCTACCCATTTTCAAGTTAATTATGCGGATTTTAGGTAGATCAAACATGGGAAAATTATAAAAACTTGAGGGATTTGTGAAGAACCTAGGGTTTTGATAAAAATGGGTTTGACCACGAAATTGGTTATGGAATTGAGTAAAAATTATATATTTGAGTTCGTGAGGCTATGGGTAATATCTATCTTTAAACATTTCTGGAATCCGGGCAAGTTGTCCCCGAGGTAAATTTTAGGAATCTTCTAATGTGGTTTGGGTAATTACTCTAAAAGCTAAATTATGAACTTTTGAGTATATTGATTAAAGTATATAACATTTGACTAGTTTTGGATTGTTCGGCATCGACTTGAGGCTTTTAAAGTGGATTAGTGGACCGGAAGTGAGCTTGGAAATGAGGTAAGTATCGTGTCTAACCTTGAGGAAATTCATCCCCATAGGTGTATCTTTATTGTGTATTGCTTGTGTGTGCAGCTACGTACGCACGAGGTGACGAGAGTCCGTGTATAGCTATATTCCATGATATGTCCGGGTTGATTCAGATCCACATCATGCTTTTAATTGTACTATTGTGTTTATCTTACGTATTGATTGTCTTAAATAGAGTTGAGATTAGGGATTTAAAGTTGCAATTATTGATTTAGCCTTCTTATTTTGAAAAATTGAGGAATACTTAATAACTATGAAAAATCCATGTCTTCTTGCCTCACAAGTACTTCCGCGGGCGAGTAAACTTCTGTATTCTAATGGGATCGGGACGTTCGCCTCGGCAGTATGATAACACCACTCTTATGGGATCTGGCCGTTCGTCTCGGCAGTATGATAACACCACTCTTAGGCGATCTGGACGTTCGCCTTTGCAGTATGATGGTAATACTATTCTTATGGGATAGTCGTTCGCCTCGGTTGTACTGAGTACCACTATTCTTATGGGATCGGAACGTTCACCTCGGCAACTTCGTGCTTAATAATCGAAACGGGTTCCAGTTTGGATAATTGAGTTAGTGCCTTAACAACCAGTTATGAGATGTTGGTGATGTGTTACAGACTCGTGCTGTATTTATTGTAGTTGCTTTTATTTGTCTCATTGATACCTGTTTTATGCTGACCATGTCTACTTTATGCACTTTTATTATTATTATTAACCTTTAGTAAGTATCAAGTCAACCCCTCGTTACTACTTCTTCGAGGTTAGACTAAATACTTACTGGGTACGCATTGTTCTCCGTACTCAGGCTACACTTCTGCATTGATGAGCAGGTACTGAGACATGTTCCACCCAGTGGTCACACAGGCGCGTAGCCGGTCATCTACGGAGATCTAGGGGTGAGCTGCTTGCCTTGCTATGATCCGCAGCACTGGAGTCTCCTTCCATCTTATTTACTATTCCTATCTATTACTTTCAGATAGTAGTTTTAGTAGTTTTGAATATTCTCTAGATTGCTCATGTACTCGTGACGCCGGGTTTTGGGGACTTGTAGCACTTATGTACTGATGTATTTGTTATTTCGATCACTGCAGAGTATGTATTTATTATGTTGATATTTGTTTAAAAAGACTTAACACAGTTGCATGAAATTTAGTGTAATTAAAAATATGTTAAAAAGGAAAACTTCCATACTAATTTGTTAAAGAGGGGTAAATAAATAGTAGTTACACTTGTGGGTTTGCCTAACAGCGGTGTTAGGCGCAGTCTCGACCAATTGCGAATTTGGATAGTGACAAAATCTCTCTAAAACGCTTTTCAAAAAGTAATTTTAGGGAGAAACTACTTTTTCCCTTTCTCAATAACAATTGCTTCTGCTCAAAAGTGCTTTTCTTTTTCTTTTAAATGTTTGCCAAACACCTTAACTTAGAAATAAAAGCATTTCTGGACAAAAAAAAAATACTTTGGGCCAAACATGCTATTAGTTGCCTATAAAGTCCTGCTTGTGCTATACACACATAAAAATATCCACAAGAATTCCTTTATGTTTTACAGGCTGAACTTGTATAATTCTTACATTTAGAATGTCAAAAAGATGAAACATGCAAACTCACTATAAACTTCTGTCCTGAATGGGATGTAAGAAATGATAAACTGGAATATAATTCGAAAACATTAGCATATTACATGATACAATCTAACAATCAAAAAAGGCATCCCACAAGGTATCCCGCGTTCACGCCAGGGTTCGAGGAAGAACCGCATCCTAAGGGATATGATATAGATAGCCTACCATAATGCAAGTATTAGTGGCTGCTTCTACGGCTCAAACCCTCATTCTGATTCCCCGTCCGAGAAGGCGCACCAAATATCATTCAACTAATCCACAAACTTGGACTCTATTTACAGCTTTTCTTGCCTAATATCATAAGATAAAACATAAGTGAGCAAAGTAACACAGTACAATAAAAAGAAACATACTCCATCTTTGTCATAGACTCATATCAAGAAATATCAATTGATATATGGAAGGAAACTATTGATTTTTTATTCAATAAAGAGGCAGTATTTGAACCACAACTGATTTGATAGCAGAACTGGTGTGGAAAAGATTATACTTATAGTCAAGTGAAAGGGAATGAGCAATCTGTATTGTAATTTGTAAGCACATTCAACCTTACTCATATAATGGTGAAAGATGTTTGATTACTTAAGCCTAGTTTTTCAAAGATTCAACAAAAATTTTAAGGACATTGTACAAAAAGAGAAAGACTCACCTCCTTATCCCAATTAGTGCATATATTTATCGCTATAAGCGCCACATTTTGCACTAACAATGCACAAATGATTCCCATCCATAGTCCCTAAAAGTAGGAACATAAATCAAGAACAGAAGGTTGAGATTTGATTGTGAGTGTTTGAGGGGCTGAGGGCAACTATTTAAAGAGTAATAGAGATATACCATTCCTCCAGTGTGGAAGACAAATGCAAAGAGCACAGAAGAAGGTAATCCCACAACATAATAAGCCCCAAGATTGATGAATGCACAGAGTTTTTGCCATCCACATCCTCTAGCAGCACCTGAAAAATGCAAAAAACGAGCATAATACTCTTAACACGTTTATCGTTCTTGCTCCAACTATCAAAAGATTGGAGTAATTTTTCAACCTGAAAGCACACATTGGAAGCCGTCCAAGAAATCAGATAAAGCAAGCAAAGGCAATATCTTGGCGACATATCTGATTACTTCTTCTTCATTGCTGTATAGCTTCCCCCATACAAAACGAACCAAAATGGTGGTGGTCGCGATTATCAATCCTACTGAGATGGCCACTACCACAATAACATATAAAGCTAATCGTGCTCCTTGTGGACGACCAGCCCCTAGTTCATTTGAAACTCTTGTACTGAAGGACAAGTTGAGATCTTTTCTTTCAACAACAATGAAGAATAATAATGATACTAATCAGATCATGTGAGAACAATGCATTGACTTACCTTATAGCAGCACCAAGTCCTACTGAAACCATGTATACCATCCAACAAGTATTGAGACTGAAAAGAATTTCAAAGAATTTGTGTAATGGTAGTTATCGATCTTTTCTTGTTCGAAGAAGCAAAATAAGCAATGAGCTTGATGTTAATAGAACGCGCACCTTATTGATAATACTGATGTCTCTAATTTAGGATTAGGAAGAAGGCCAGATAATAGAACAACCATCTCAAATGACCAATATTCAAAGCTGTAAATCAGAATGATATAAAGTAAAATGTTACTCAGTTAGTGGAAAGAACAGAACATAGAAAGCTTAAAGCTGAAATAGAAGACATAATTCATATATGATTTAGAAGACATCGGTTATTTAGGGGAAAATGAGAATAGACTTACCAAATCATAATTGCAGAAGGAATGGCAAGCTTGAGAAAATCCAGAACATCATGCAAAGCTTCCTTTGAAAAACCAGTCCAAGTTTTTCTACAGGCTGGGAAAAATTTAATATAACCAGCTAATAAAAACACATTAACCCAATATGAAATGGCATTAGCCAAAGCAGCCCCTTTGCTTCCAAGACCAATCTTGAATACAAAAATCCAACATATAAGAATGTGGAACAAAGCTGTGAAACCAGAGGTCAACATCATCGGCATCACTATATTTTGAGTCTGTAAAAATCTATTGAGGCATTGAAGTATGCCATACGCGAAAAGTCCTGGGATCATCCATCGATTAAATTGTCCTGCTTCAGCAGATATATCAGGGTCTTGATCACAAGCGATAAGAATGGTGCTGGTGTTGAACCATATCAGTAAAAGCAAAATGCTCAATACAAGAAGAACTAGCATTGCTCTCTGTGTGTAAATGCCAAGCATGTGGTATTGCTTAGCTCCATAGGCTTGCCCACATAATGTTTCCAGTGCACTTCCCATTCCTAACTACCAAAAATTTGTGAGAGACAGTAAGTTCAGAAATAAATCAAGGAGTAAAATAATGAACTTTGGAAGTGGGAAAACATCGTCGAGAACTAGAACTTCACAATAAGAAAAGGAACTAGCTCCAATTAGCACATCGTGCACGTAGGTGGATTTTGCGTGCATTCTATGAGTTCAACTCAACCCATTACTTTAAGCGCGATATATGTATACATATGCCAAAAAAATACTTAAAATGTATACATGTAACAAAAAAGGGGAAATGTCCTACATGTGAGTACTGTCTAAACTATTGATTTAACTAACTGGAAATAACTAATTATGTTTGTGATGAAACCTATAAACCGATCACTGATCCAATTTGAGTAACCTGCAAGATAGACTTCAGCAGAAAACTGAAGAGTAACAGTAACAAGTGATTGAGTTCTGTAGTTCTTCATATAAATTATTGACTCTAGATATATAGTAATAGGGAGAAGACAAAATTGTTTCAAGTACCGAATGACACACATTAACACATTTGGAACCTACAAACTCTAAATCATGGATTCGCCTCTTTTCGTGCAAGATAAAAATCAAGTCAACAACCACTTAGCATGATTTGAACAGACAATAGTAGTCAACAAAAGAACTTACCAAAACACTGAATCCAGTGACTGAAGCAAAGGAAGTAGCCATTGAAGCGCCAGAGAGAGCCAACTCTCCTAAGTGGCCAACGAACATTATGCTAATAATTTGCAGACAATACTGCAGAATATTGACTGCTATAAGAGGAACAGCAAGTCCTAGCTGCTTTTTTGCTTCTTCAATAATCTCTCGTTTTCCTATTCCATAATCTTGTTCTTGTGCTTCTTTCTTATCAAAATCATGGCCTGTTGTTTCTTGGTTTGACACTAATAGAGCTTGCAGACCTGAACTTTGACTTTCCATTTTGCTTTTGTCCCTTTTCTGGTTTATTCAAGAAATATAGTCCAAGAAAGAAAGAGGGATATCCATCACGAAATAACACGTTGACCCATTTTGCATAGACAATGCAATAGTTTACATTTGGACAATGATTTGTCACGTTATCAAGTTGTGGTTCCCACCATAGATAGCGATCTATTGCATAATAAAAAATTGGTTATCAGAGTTGAAAGAGAGACTGGTCTTTACAAAGTTCATATTTTACCAGATATTGTTCCATTTTTTTAGTGACAGAATCGAGCCATTGAATTTGAACATCTCACACTAATCGGACACCTTCATTGCTCGATTAAATAAGAAAGACAGGATTAAATTGGCAAGAAAATTCAAATTGTGACAAAAAACACTAGGTGATTTATTCTCATATGTCAAAGTTGTTTCCTACGTAATTTGTTCCACTTGTTTCGGTGAAAGATAGCTGGTGCACGAGAAATTAGTTAAGGTTTGCACAAACTGTTCCAACACCATTTATATTAAAAAATCAAATGAAGTATCAGATCTAAAGCTAGAACAATAAAGATAGCTGGTGCACGAGGAATTAGTTAAGGTTTGCACAAACTGTTCCAACACCATTTATATTAAAAAATCAAATGAAGTATCAGATCTAAAGCTAGAACAATTGAATCGTCGTTATGTTTATTGGAATTATGGTAAATCAGCAACAACACGAGCAGATAAATCAGCATATACACGAGCAACAACATACTGATTTTACAAAGAATTAACCAATAGGATAAATTAGTGAAGTCGTATAAAGTCATACTCTTATTAAAGCTCATGAATCCTGAATCAATAACATTTTTTTGGTGCAATGACCAGTTGAATATTGTCTCGTTGGCAAAAGCTCTTTATTTTTTCTCTATAATATCTTGATAAAACTTCAATATGTTTGATCTCTAACTACTATATGATTCTTCTTGATAGTGCATAACTACTTAATGAAAAAGGAAATAACCTCACAAATCTCACTGTTCGGTTATATAGTATTGGTAAATCATTCTGCTTCAACGTTAGGTGGAAATATATAAGGGAAAAGATTACTTTTAGCCCGCGGCCTAAATTATTTACATCCACTAACCACAAAGGTGTATAAAAGTTGTATTATTTTTGTATATTACATACATAAATATATATATAATTTTTCGGCTATTATTTTAAGAGTGGTTATACAGTGTCATTTTTTCAATATATATAACTTGACAGCACTTTAAATCGGGCCAATTATGGCCCATGGATATTTGGGTTAAAAGTTCCGTGGGCCGCTCGGCCTTACCAGTGGTCTTTAAATCAGGCGAAGTGCACAAATACTTTAGTGAAGAATTAGTTTAAATAGCGGTCCACCCAACCGCTTAAACTAAAAATAGCGAGTGAATGTATAATATAAGTATAATCCATATATAATATGTATATAATCATGTAAAATCAGTATATAATTTATATATATCAGCTAAAAATATAAACTGTAAATTTGACCGACTATTTCTGTAAAAATCCTAAGATCACTGTTTAAAACCTAACCAGTATTTAATAACTGTTTTAAACGTAGCCACTTTGTAATACGTTCCTGATTATGCAACCATGAAATCTCCTGACTCGGCTTCCTCTCTCATTTCTTCGGCCATCCTTCCAACAACTACGTGGCTAGGATTTAAGGGAATGAAAGATGAGCACTGGGATAAGAGGATAGGTTAATTAATTATGTTCGTCAGGAAATGTTAATGGATCGAACTCTTGAAACTCAGTTTTTTTTTTCTCTGAGCAAAAGAAGAGTCTCGACAAATCTCCATGTGAATATATAGTCTACTTTAATTTAATGGAAGTTAAAGATTCAAAGAGAACAGAATACCCTACTTGTATCAGTTAATCTTCATTTCAAAACATAAGATTAAGATATTCACAAGAGAATTTTATAAATACGCCTCTGGATTTTTTTTCGTTAAGCATTACATCTGTTCAGGCTCTAAATTGTTACCAAGGTTGTGAAGGTGTATACTACTTAATTCTTATGTTCGGAAAGTTATATGAATGTTTAAAGAAGGAGACAAGTAGTTTGAAATTGCTTAAGGGAAGAAGATGCATTAGTTGCGTAATATATCCCAATATTTAATGAATTATTTATGAGCTATATATCAAATTAAATCTCTTTGAGTCTAGTTTCCAAAATTTCATATTGTTCGTCATTCTGATATTCATATGAAAAGTTATGATCTTTTTACTGAAGAATAGCATAACAACAATCTAGTCCCGAAATTTACCCTGACACGGCATGTCATGCGGCATGTGGCACGAGGTGTCAAAGTAATTTAGGTAGATGTACAAAAATTCAAGCCTTTAAAAATTTCTCTCGGCACAATGTGCCATGAGATGTGTGACACAGCGTGTCAGGTCAAATTTGACATATATGTCGAGTAACATTGTATACCCGTCAAGACAAATGAAAAGAAATAAATACTAGCTCCGATCCCTAATAATGTGTCTTATAGCCATATCAATTAATACCAGCTGGCCCATAGGGTTCTTTTTTCATAAATAAAGCTAAATTTGGTGTCACTTTCTTTTCTTTCTTTGTTCGTCCTAACTACTGGGAGTATTTCTTTTTGCTCCTCCTTTTTTGATCTGCTATGTAATGACCAATGAAGTATGATTTTTTTTAAAGGAGGGCTCCTCCGGTGGGGAGAGGAAGAAATAAATTAAGCTAGCGTTTGGCCATAGATTTCTAAATTTATTTTGAAATATCTGATTTGGATGTAGTTTGGTTTGAAAATGAAAATATGTTTGGACATCAGTTTTCAAAACATATTTTTCAAATTTATTTTGGAAAAATATGAAACATGATTTATACCCACAAGTTCTAAAAACTATCACAAATACCCAACAGTACCATTATCAATAACATTCATTATATTATCGCAAACCATAGTCCTGAACATATATAAATTTGATACAAAATTATCATTCTTATAATAAACTACATGATACATTATCAGGTGACCGAGAAGATGAAACAATATTGTTACAAAATAATAAATGGTGGGCTCTTTTATAAAATACAAAAGTTTTGGGCAATTTTTAAAAAATGTAATAGTGATATTTGGGATTTTGCCAAAATGTAGGCAAAATCTATGACCAAACATGTGTTTGCCAAATAAAACCTAAATTTATTTTGGCAAAATCTATGGCCAAACGGGTCCTAAAAATAGTTTCAATAGATTCAGCAGAGTATGTGGTATTTGAAATTAAAAATAGTTTCAATAGAAAAGTAACTTTTTTTCCTTTAAAACTATGTGGTATTTGAAACGCATTAATTCGACTAATCCAAAGATTATATTTCCAAGTGATGAATCTCATTTATTTCACCACATCCTTGGCAGTGCGGAGTAACTTCTAAAATGTGAGGCAAGCAATTTAAAGGTTTTTGTACGACATGTTTGACAATTTTGTTTTCCTAGAAAATGGAAAATAACGTTAGTATTTGCACGGTCAAAACAATTGACCACAATTATCATTTTTTTTTTATAGTTCAAATGCTTTTGTTTGAATATATTTTGAGAATATGTTATACATGTTTAAATCTGGAAGGCAAATTAGCCAAATTTGAATATAATAAACTAAATCATCTAATTCTTTTTCGAATAGAGAAAGAGTACAAAGATGGTTTAGTTTCGAACAGAGAAAGAGTACATAAATATCTTTAGCATGAAATATTAATATACTAGAGTAGCACTTTTCGTTGCAAATGTCTAGATTTGTTAAATAGATATTATATTTTCTAAATTCTAAATATGTCTAAAATGCTATCTAATTTTTTTTTGTTGAAGTATTAAAAAAGACATCATGCTATACTAAACTCTCGCTTTACTTTATTTAAAGTACTTAGGGTCTGTTTGGAAAGTCACATCTAATTGGAATTGGTGTACTTACCAAGGTAGTAATTACATAACTTAGTAATTACACAATATAGTAACGATGACCTGTTTGTTTGTCATAAAGTAATTACAAGCGTACTGCTTGATTGCACAAGTGTAATTACATGTTAGATTAAATTTTAAATGAAATAATTATCAAAACTTAAAAGTAAATACGGCAAAGGGCCAGATATACCTCTCTACTTTCGAAAATGATCTAAGAATACCCCTCATTATACTATTGGGTTATCTATACCCCTGCAGTCATACTTTGGGTTCAAATATACCCCTCATTTAAACGGAGGGACACGTGTCATCGTCCTGTTGATTAATTCTAAATATCTACTAATTAATTAAAAACACTCATTATCCATACCCGAAAAATAATTTTTTTTATAAAAACTGGAAAAAACTAAAAAAATATTTTTACTAAAAACTGAAAAAAATGAAAATATTTTTTTTCCAGTTTTTACAAAAAACTACTTTAAAAAAACTGAAAAATATTTTCTAAAACGATATTTTTGTAAAAACTGAAAAAAAACTGAAAAGTAATTTTCTAAAGCAATTAAAAACTGAAAAAAACTGAAATATTTTTAACTAAAAACTGAAAAAAAAGAAAATATTTGTTTTTTCAGTTTTTACAAAAACACTGTTTTAGAAATTTGCTTTTTAGTTTTTTTTTTCAGTTTTTATAAAAATATTATTTTAGAAAATATTTTTCAGCTTTTTTTAAAGCAGGTATTTTTGTAAAAACTGGGGAAAAAATATTTTTGTTTTTTTTCAGTTTTTAGTAAAAATAATTTCAGTTTTTACAAAAAATATTGCTTTAGAAAATTGATTTTCAGCTTTTTTATTTTTAGTTTTTTCAAAAATATTGTTTTAGAAAATATTTTTCAGTTTTTTCTAAAGCAGTGTTTTTGTAAAAACTGGAAAAAATTACTTTTCGGGTATGATTAATGGGTCTTTTTAATTAATTAGAAGATATTTAGAATTGACCAACATGACAATGACACGTGTCCCTCCGTTTAAATGAGGGGTATATTTGAACCCAAAGTATGACTGCATGAGTATAGATAACCCAATAGTATAACGAGGGGTATTCTTAGACCATTGTCGAAAGTAGAGCGATATATTTGGCCCT